AAGTGTCAGCCATGGTAAATATCAGCTGAAACCAGCTCTGATAACGTGACGTTTACCTGTATCAGTTTACTTGTTTATGTCATGTGATTCATTTATTTATTGAGTGTTCAGACTTTGTTCTGTTTGCCCGTTTTTATTCACTCAGCTGTGTATGTTCATCAAAAAAAAAACCAACCCTGCACCTTTTCTAACTGCAAAGCTTCAGTTTAGGTTTTTTGGGAAGCTAAAATCTCCAACTGTTCCGTGTGTTTTCTCCACACAGACATGTGTCTGTCTCCCGTGAACCCCTTTAGCCTTGATCATTAATCTCCTGTAGCCCCACTGTGATCAGGTGGTCGTATCTGATTCTGCCACTTCCTCTTCCCTTCCACCTGGCGCGTTTGCTGCTTCTCCGGCATACCGGACGCTCCCCCCACTGCTCCCAAGAGGAGCTGACGAGGATTCCAGATAGATCCCGAGCAGCTGAAGGCCTCGTATGTGTCTGTGGGCCTGTTTGGGTCAGCCACCAACAGGAAGCCTGATTTCACAATGTGATAACATGTCTTTGTGTGGAAGTTGTAATCCGAGACTTCCCGCTGTATCGCGAGGGCCTGGTGTGTGTTGGAGTGCTGATTTATCGAGCACATGGCACACTAGGCTTCACTTGGCTTCAATGAAATTTAAAAAATGCTGTTTAGCAGTTATCAGGAACATTTGAGGCTTTATTTAGCTTCACGCTGACGTCTGTTTGTGTCAGGATCAGCCAGAAATTCAGGATCATTTTGAGCACAAGTTTTCAGGTCGGCGTCGGCCTGCAGTTTAGATGCTGGTACCTCGCTCGAGTCGTTAGATGTCGGCGTGTGGCTCGTGTATATTAGAAAGAAAATCCCTGCTTGTCTGTCAAATCAGAACAAAGTTTGAAAAAGGAGCAGAGAGTTATGAGACGCTCAGCACAAAGTGGTTTTGACAGCTATGTCAGCTTTAATGTCTTCAGCGGTCCAGTATCCACGCTGCGCGCTCCTGCTGGAGAAAGATAAGCAGCAGATGATGGAAAAAAGATGTCCACTCTTTCTCAAGTCTCCTCCAATATGTTTTTGATTGGTTGTTGCTTTGACTTCAAAATATAAACCTGATTTATCTCCCTCTCTTTGGTTTTCAGCCCTTCGATGCCTTTTCGATTTCCCAGAAGGTAAGACCAGAAACGCTCAAACTTCTCCTCCTTTCTTTATTTCTGTCATCCATCCATCACAGCTCTACTGGAGCCATCATTCCTCAGTGAGTCACGACTTATTGATGGGAGCTTCACTTATCCTGCAGTAACTAGCAACTGTCCTCATTTATCCATTAACCTACAGTAAAATCTAACTCTTAAAGAGAAGACATGTTTTCGTTTTCTCTGTTTGTTCCCTCAGTGACTAATTTGATGCTTTTCTTGTTTCTCCTACTCTGTATGTAATCAGAGGCACATGCTGTTTGAAATCAACTGTCAAAGGACGTCTTGTCGTCAACTTCTATGTGTGTCTTTTTCACAGCTATGCTGAGCTAATAGCTGATTGGCCAGTGGTGGTGCTGGGTGTGTGCACGGTGCTTATTGTGATCTGTGCCCTGGTGGGCATACTTGTGCCTGACCTGCCGGATTTCTCTGACCCACTGCTCGTGAGTACACTACTCATTGGTCACCTTTGTAGATGACGGTAGCCGTCCTCTTTTCAGTGTGTAGTACTGTATTTTCCGCACTATAAGGCACACTTAAAATCCTATAATTTTCTCAGCAATCGTCAGTGCGCCTTATGTATGAATTCTGGTTGTGCTTATTGACCTCAAACCGATTTTATGTGGTGCACGGCGCTCAAAAATCTGTCATAAATGCTTCAGTATGACTTTGCTAAACTATGAAGCCGCACCGCTTGAGGA